AAAAAAACGAAAAGCGCCTGGAGGATCCAGGTATGAAACTGTGAACTATTGGAACTGAGTTCAAACAACAAAGAATTCCCATCAATGACCACAGAAAATCCAACTCTGCAAACAATGAGGAGAAAGACAGGGGCATGAGGAGAGACGCAGGATGCTCAAGGTGTACATACAGACAGCCTGACACATGGCGAGGGTCGCCCGCAATCTGAAACACAAGGCAGAGCAGGGTTACAAAGAACAGGTGAAACAAAAACAACAAGCACACACTGCTCATAATATATTACCTTCACTGTTTCAGTTTCAGGTATTACAGAGTTACTTAGGGATTTTAATGAATATTCTTTGACATTCTTGAAGGAGTGTTTACAACAGTCTTTTTTAACTACGAAAATGTCATATTGAGTTCAGCACTGATAATACAACAACCTTTAAAACCACCTATCTAACATTGTGTAGGTCTTTGTCATGCATCCAAAGGCAAGAACTCCTTAGACGTTAGCAGCAGATCCTGGTGCTACAAGTTGCTCGATGGAGCCTCGACGTATTGAACATGTTCCTCCAGCACATCCCATAGATGCTTAATCAGACTGAGATTTGGAGAATTTAGAGGCCAGTCAACACCACAAACTCTTGCTCAAACCATCCTGGCACAGTGTTATACTTTTATACTTTATACTATTATACTTTATTTTGTACCATATTTATTTTGTCCATTATATGGACCAATAGTCTATATAGTGTGTGTGTGTGTGCGTGTGTGTGTGTGCGTGTGTGTGTGTGTGTGTGTAGGTGTGTGTGTGTGTGTGTGTGTAGCTCTATTGTATTACATTTCTCAGCTCTTACTATTTATAGTTTATTTGTTCTCTTTCCTTCCTGTCACTATTTGTGCTCTTTCCTGTATCTATACTGCTGCAACAAGTGAGTTTCCCCACTGGTGGTGAAAAATAAAGTGCAATCTAATCTAATCTAATCTAATCTAATCTAATCTAATCTAATCTAATCTAATTAGCAGTGCAGATGCATGACCATAGCCAGAGCAAAAATGTTAACTTTAGCCCGGAAGTCCAACAAATTCACTTTATAACTTTACTATTCAGAATTCCTCTCTTTTTAACAATGGTGTTTCTACAGTCAGACACACAATGTAGTCGGAGTAGATTTTGCAGAAGAGTACTTCAGCCAATGGAACCAATGGAATGTACCAGGCCAGCAACACCTATATGAGAATGTGTAATTCTCTTATCAATATTGTTTTCGTCTAGTATTTTTCTCCTCCCTCTGTGCTTCTTCTCATCAATCTCTCATTTCAGGCTGACTCTTTAGCGCTGCAGGGCTCTAGGTATGAAATGTGACCTCGCTCTGGATGCATCTCTTTGACATTTTCTCACTCCCTATGCTGCTTTAATCAAATAGAAGATAAAAATCAACACATTAGAACAGGATCAGAAAATGATAAGATCTGATTTGTTTAAAAAGCATCAACTGTGGATAGACATTCAGAAAAGCTCTCCTCTGTCGTCATGGTAAAGATGCTTGTAATATTTGATGCAAGCCTGTATGATTCACATCCTGTAAATAATGGTAATAAAGCCTGTAAAGTACTGCTAAGTAGGACGTGTGTAAACATAGCTGAGGTCTGTTATGTGTTCATCCTCATTAGCATTACATCTACCTTAGATCCATAATTGTCATACAGTTTTTTTTTAGCGATATAGGGATGTTGTTACGCTACAAGTTTTGAAAGCTTTGTACTTTGCTTTGTCCTCTGCATCTCCCCTGAACAATGCACTGAACCCACTGGTGAGAGCAGCAGATGTTTCATTGTGTCTAAATGATGGTGTCCTTGGAGAGTTAAGTTACACTCCCGTAGAGTGGTTTTTTATCCGAGCTTCTCTGTTTCATGTTTTGGGGCCAGTTCAGCAATGTGTGCATGCTGGTGCATGTCAGTCCCTCCCTCTGAAACTGTATAAAAACTGCCTTTATTAAAAACAGACCTCCAACACTGCACTGTAAAAATGAAAGTACAGTCCAGAGCATTTAGTTAATATCTACCTTTACCGAATTAATGGGCACTTATTTCATTTCAGCTTAGTGTGAGAGTCTCTACTGCTGTTTTGCTGCTCTCCACTGTTTCACTGTGTGTCTCCTCCGCTGTGCAGGTCAAACAGACATGTAGAGCAGAGCAAAGAAGAAATAGATGAAGTGATGATAACATTACTCATTATAGCACTTTTGTATTTTCTATTCTTGTGTGGGCTAATGGTTGTGGCTTGATTATGTTTTGTCGGAGCTCATGTACACAACCTTTCCAGTGGTAAATGACGCGCAGGGAGGGCTGAAGTGTGGCTGACGCTGTTTGCTTGAGGCTGTTTGTTTTGATCTGAGATGATGGTGCTCTAGTGACAGACAAGGTTTTTACACTCTATCTATACAGCACCTTTAAGGCAGTTTGATCAGTTTCTGGAAAATCAATAGCCTACTCCTTTCATGTGAGTAAACGTGTTTGATACGCTTAATCCTCTGGAAGGTGGCGGGGGGGGCTGTTGTCTATCCCAGCCGACCCAAGGTAAAGGCAGGGGACACCTGGACAGGTCTCCAGTCTATCACAGGGCGACACAGAGACAACCAAGCACACTCACATTCACACCTACGAACAATTTACAGTCACCAATTAGCCTCAACATGTTTTTGGACTTTGGGAGGAAGGGAAGGACATGCAAACTCCACGCAGAAAGATCCCAAGCGTCCTAACCAAGACACGAACTGGGGATCTTCTAGCTGTAAAGCGATTGTGGTAACAACCTCACTACCAGGCCACCCACCCCAGGTAACATAATGTCAGTATTCATCAAGGCTCACCATATTTTGGTTTCAAAAAAAGAGAATACCAATTAGAAAGCTCAAACATTAGGCACTACTGTCAGGCTCTTGTTGTTTCTCTTGTTGTCGCTTATCACTTAAGAGCAAGTTCTGATTGATGGAAATTAGTCATATTTGGCAGACTGATACAGCGACAGGGTTTCCCAAGAATTCACCCAGATTTGTTGACTTTTCTGGGAAGTCTTTGTTCTAACATTTGCCTGACAGATATTTTGGCAGACAAACTTTTATTCACACTTTCAGTCATAAAATAAAATGTCCATTCACTCACAGAAATGACCAAAGCCAAAAGCTTGCAACCTAAAAGCTGTCCACAGGAGTGTTTGTCAAGGTGCTGAAAAAGGGCACTGCCATTAGAGAACATCAGAGTGGTATACTTGGTCTACAACAATGTTTAGGCCGATGGTACATTTTAAGGTAACATCCAGATGGATTGTAGTACCAAAGCTTTCCTCGCAGGGCACTGGCTCTGCTGGCTTGTCTTCTTCCTATACAGCATTCTGCTGCCATCTCTTCCCCAGGTAAATGACACACACTCATCTGGCCATCTACATGATGTAAAAGAAAATGTGTTTCATCGGATTAGACTACCTTCTTCCATTGCTCCATGGCTTTCGGCAGTGGACAGGGGTCAGCATGGACACTCTGATCAGTCTGCTGCTGTATAGCTCCACTGTGTGTTCTAAAACTCATCTATCATAGCAGCGTTAAGGTTTTCAGCACTTTGTGGTGGGTCCTCCATGGGATCAGACCTCACAGGCCAGCCCTTGTTCCCCCACATATCAGTGAGCCTTGGGCCCCCATGAGCCCGTCACTGGTTCACCAGTTATACCTCCTTGGAGCCCTTTTTGCAGAGACTAACCACTGCGTACTGGGAACACGCAGACCGGCTGTTTTTGAGATGCTCTGACCCCGGCATCTAGACATCACAGTGTTGCTCTTGTAAAAGGTTTTTGCTTGTCAGTTAAATACTTGATCTGTGAGTGGTTTCAATGTTGTGGCTGACTAGCATATAAGCAGTAAAATGTAATATTCAAGCGATGTAGATACATTTCTGTATGTGATACCTACATCAAACCAACTCACATCCTGAGTGTTATGCAGAGAGTACTGCACTGAATAAAGTAAAAGTGTTTTAGATTAAGTGACACTGACCACTTCTTCTGTCTGTTACAGATGGCTTTGTGCTCTCATTGGAATGATGGTGGTTGGAATGAGTGTAATATGTGTAAGTATGAGAGAGACAACTCCATCATTAGTGTGACTTTAGATGTCACTTATGAGTGATCACTGCTGTGTAAAATACACTCGATTCTGAACAGGATGTATGCATTTACGTTAACTGTAAGTTTTCGAAATGTTTACTGTCACAACAGTAGATACACAAAATGTAGATTTTAATGAACTGTATTATGTACAGTTAGTATCCTGACTGTATTAAAACCAGTTAATGATTTATGCACAAAAAGCAGTTAAGTTAAAAAAGCACAGAAATTGTCCAAATTATCTGCTTTTGTTCATAAAGAGCACAAAATTGCTATATAAGTGCAGACCATTTACCAAATTGCTGCTCTGTGTCTCATTACGCTACAGATCTCATTCTGACAATGGAAGTCTGACTTCCCCATGATTTCCACATTAAATTCAAAAATCTCTCACCATAGAAAGTGCTTGTTGTTTATACTACTGTGTAATACACAGGAACAATGCAAAATAAATGAATAAATAATTTGTTTGTTCTAGGTCCCATTTGCCAAAGACATCTATGGTCTGATTCTTCCAAACTTTGGCGTTGGTTTTGCTATTGGTAAGTCAGTTCACTAGCTTTACTGCTAAATATTTACAGTATGTTAAAATGGAAGACTATCACTGGTTGTGGTGTGTTGCAGGAATGGTGGATTCCTCTATGATGCCAATAATGGGTTACTTGGTGGACCTGCGGCATGTGTCTGTTTATGGAAGTGTGTATGCCATTGCTGATGTGGCTTTCTGCATGGGCTTCGCTTTAGGTAAGCAGGAACCAAAGACACAAAACCTCAGAAATCCTACAGAGTATTCAGCCACATGTTTTAAGACCTCTGAAGTGATGTTAAACAGCAAAGACGGAAAGTAAATCTGCCTTTTCAGATTTTCTGTTTCCATAGTGGTGCAGGATCCAAAAGCTTCGACATCAGCTCTAAAAAAACACAAACACATGAATTAGTAGTTACTGGACTCCAGCTCTATAAACACAATGGAAATAGAAACATGGACATTTGTTATGTTGGCTTACTCTACCTTCAAGAGACTCTACAGTTGCAGTTGTTATGGTTGAAACACACACAAAGGTTTTGGCCGTCCTGAATCAACCTGCATCTTCCTGGAGTGCATAAAGGCCTAGATGTGGCTTGTGGTTAGGCTAAATATCTCTTTCTAATCAAGATTATTTTTTTTATTTTATTTTTTTAAGTAAGCAATTGAATGGTTGATGTACATATTATAACTCTGGCCTTTGGTTTTTAAAATATTGTTAAAATCTACGACCACATCAAAAATCTCTTTTTTTTCATTAGAAAGGTGGATTTATAAACATTAAAAGAGAAGTTCCTTCCTCAAGCGAGGGGGTTTAAGTATCTTGGGATCTTGTTCACGAGTGACGGAAAAATGGAGCGCAAGGTGGACAGGCGGCTCGGTGTGGCGTCAGCAGTAATGCGGACCGTTGTGGTGAAGAGAGAGCTGAGCCACAACTCTCGATTTACCAGTCCATCTACATCCCAACCTTCACCCATGGTCAAAAGTTTTGGGTTGTGACAGAAAGAACGAGATCGCGGATACCAGCGGCCGAAATGAGCTTCCTCAGCAGGGTGGCTGGGCTCAGCCTTAGAGATAGGGTGAGGAGCTCGGACATCCGGAGGGAGCTCGGCGTAGAGCCGCTGCTCCTGCATGTTGAGAGGAGTCAATTGAGGTGGTATGGACATCTGATTCGGATGCCTCCAGAGAGGCTTCCTCTGGAGGTCTTCCAAACACGTCCACCTGGCAGGAGACCTCGGGGCAGACCCAGAACCCACTGGAGGAATTATATGTCTCAGCTGGCCTGGGAACACCTCAGGATCCCCCAGGAAGAGTTGGAAAGCGTCGCCGGGGGAGGGAAGTCTGGAATGACCTGCTCCACCTAATGCCCCTGACCCGACCTTGGATAAGCGGAAGAAAATGGATGGATGGATGGATGGATGGATGGATGGATGGATGGATGGAACTGAAGAACATTAGCAGCAGTGACCATGTTAACGCCTTTATACAAAAGGTCCAATTTCCTTGAGGTGGAGCCTTCCATTTAAACACGAATTGCTGTTGTTTAACAGTCATTAATAACACCTATGGGATACATGCTGTCAGAACTGCATTAAAGTGTAATAAGTCAGATTGTTTGTTTTTAGCAAAGAGAGGCTTTCTCAGCATCAACTTATGTTTCATCTTAGGGTTTCTAAGGGAACAGTAAATGGAGCTTTGAAGCACATTTGGAAAAATGGATGAGATGTATTCCAAACATCAGGTTTAGGCAGAAGTCAGCATGTTCTCAGAAGATCTTTAAATCAAGCTTCGTTCACTAAGAGATAGAAGTCAGCTTCATCACAGATACAGAATTTACTAATTAAAAAACACGGAACTCCAATCAGCAAAATTCCCATCAACAGAAGGTTGTCTACCCTTTTACCCGAGGCACACACAAGCGGCATCTCTAAACCACTTCTAAGGAGGGAAATAAGGACAAACACTCGGGGTGGACTTAGACAGAGCAGCATTTCACAGTAGATGGTAAAAAAAAAAAGTCCTGTTTACTGATTAATTCCAGTTGGAGACTTCAAATCAAATCAATCAAATCAAATCAAGTTTATTGTCATTTTCCTGTACATACAACAGTAGTACAAATAAGATGAGAGAGCGTTTCTTCAGGACCCAATAACTAAAAGCAGTTAAATAAAAAAGTGTTTGCATATCTGGTTTAGCAGTTCAGCATTCTGACAGCTTGTGGAATGAAGTTGTTGATCAGTCTGGAGGTTCTTCCTTCAGTGCTCCAGAAACGTTTGCCTGGTGGCAGCAGTTCAAACAGTTCATGGAGAGGGTGTGAGGAGTCCCTGTCAATGTTCAGTGTCCTGCTCCTGCAGTGGCTCTGGAAAAGTTCAGAGTTAGCTGTCTGTCTGTCCACCCAGGACGATGTCATCTCCTCCAGCTGTATGTCTGTCTGGGATGCTGTCATGGAGCCATGTTTCTGTAAAAGAAAACACACAGCAGTCTTTCCACTCTCTGCAGGCTTCTCTCAGCAAACGTAGCTCGTCCAGCTTGTTGTCGAGGGAGCGGACATTGGAGAGTAGGAGCGACGGTCCTGCTGTCTGGAGGGGTTAACCTTTGGCCTAGCATGGATCCCAGCTCACTTCCTCCTCCTTTGTTTATGTTCGTACCGTAACTGCCGACGTAGTCTCTGATCAGACTCCGTGTTGGTGTTGTATGTTCAAATCACAACTGAGCGCCTCAGTTTTAGAAACGTTCACTGCCTTGATGTTCAGCAAAGTCTCTCTGCTGTTTTGTGAAATGAATATGCGAGTGAATGAATATTTGGAGATCAAAATTAATATCCCGATTCCAGCACAGGGAACAAATGGTTGGCTATTCGGCTATTCGGGTCCAGCCCTAGTATGAAAATCCACATTTTAAATATTCCGGGTCATATTTGCGCTTTGCCATCTTGCATCCCAACATCAACACAAACTTAAAATGAACGTCAAACTATGGTTACCATGCCTGTCAAAATAAAAGTTTTTTCAAAATAAAAAATAAGTCCAACCTGAGACACACATTATATATTATTTAATTTTGACCAGCTGTCCGCGACCCACTTTTGGGTCGCGACCCACCAGTTGGGAACCCCTGTTCTTGTCAGCAGTGAAGTCCAGTGTAAAGTGCTGCATTGAGCCAAACAGACACCTGAACCAGTATGTGGTGCATCTTCTCCTCATGCAGGTCCATCTATCGGAGGGTCCATAGCTGAGAGTATCGGCTTCCCCTGGCTGATGACCATGATCGGAGTCGTGGATATTTTCTTTGCTCCTCTCTGTCTCTTCCTCAGAAATCCACCAGGACAAGAAGAGAAAATTGTAAGATTCAAAACACACTTGGATACACTCAACCACATAAACACACAGAAATAATGAAGCCCTGGAAGGCAAGATTCACACATATTTTATTTATATATATATAGAGAGAGAGAGAGAGAGATTAGTAAATTATATAAACTCCATAAATAAAACTGATGTGGCAGATCCTGTAAGAGACTGACGAAAAGCATGAGACACTGAGGGGCGAACCAGAGTGTCTAATCTTTTTTATTTAATGTTCAGTAATGTCTTATTTTAGCAAAATTAAATCTACATTTGCAGTTTCAAGCTAGTGTTCATTGTGCACCTTTGGCACTGTGGCCAAAAAAGCAAAATCAATCTTTAATAAGTCTCAACACTTATGATTGAGCTTACTTCCTTTATTTCTCTGTTCCTGAAGTAAAACAAGACCAAATCAAAGCAGATATTAACTGCACAAACGCAAAATGTTGAAACTCGTGAGTAAATGAATGTGAAATCTTGAAAGCAATGCAAAACTGTTCATAGCTTGTTTAAATAACACGCAAATAACCCGTTGCCCAGTTGTCTGCTGGAGATGAAAACCTTGACATTTCTTTTAGAGCTTTCATTTGACATCAATGCACATCTCCAGCCTGCATGCTTGTGGATGAACCCTCTAATCCTGCAGCTCCACCCGTCCTGCCTTTATATTCATTTGTCCACCTCCAAGCAGCAACTGCTGCCATTCATAGCATTTCTTATCCCACTTCCTTTCTGTCCATCATCTCCTGTGCTGCTTCCCTCCACCACTATTTCCATTTTTTCTCTTCTATTTGATAGGTTTGTTGTTGTTGTTGTTGTTGTTGTTGTTTTTTTTTTACCACAGGTGTTCTAATCTTTCATCATTGGCCCAGTTTTGACCTTATAAAGCAGGCTGGGTATTGGAACACATGAGATGAAATACATGCAATTCTATAATAATAATAATTCTTAGTCTATCTTGAAATTTCCAATGTTGTTTTTTAAGGTTTTTGGTTTTTTACAGATGGAAGAGAAAATAAAAACATACTAAACATGGGCACAATAAATACATAATGAGAGAAAATATAGAAACTAAAGCAATAAATGGGTCACACCATGAAAAATCAACCAGTACCTCGTCCCTGACCTTCTCAGAAGTAGCAGATTTTTAATGTACAGCAACATTAGTATATTAAATGAAGCCATGCAAGACTATGCCTTTATTCTTTATCCTATGAATAGTTTCTGTGCAGTATCAGTGTTGTTCTATACATAGAAAGAACCTGTGTGCAATATCTGAATTTACATAACCCAGTATCAATAATCACTAATTTACATGAAGAGACAAAGAATAATTTAAATATATATATATACACATATACTTTTTTGGACAGTTTTAAAATGAGGACTGTTGACTGGCAACCCTTTAACAACAGCAGCAGTAAACACCACAGAGAGGCTATGACAAACATTTCACAAAGACGAAGCGTCACACAGATGAAGTGCTGTGATGAAGAGATTCAGAAGCTTAATTAACATTTTGTCCTCAGTGACCAGTGGACACAAAACAGTCAGAGTTAATGCTGTTCAGTCTGTCAGATCTGTATTCATACACAACAACAATGATCCTGCCTGAGGAATCATTTGTGTTGAAGTATAGATCAACTGAGGTTGGTATTTGATTAAGATTCAGTTCTCTGAACTTCTCAAAATAACATAATTAAGTTATTTACACACTTTAAAAGAGAGCTGGTGTATGAATGGCTCTATATAAGAAATTAGGAGTTATAGTCTTGAGGTAACAGTTTTCAATTTGGGAAAAAAACAGAGACTGGGATCAGTTCTCAGTATCAAAGATGAATTAGCAGTAGTGGAGTAAAATCAGAGTTACTTGTTGTTACCACTGTCAACATTTTAAAATGTCTGTGTCTGTGTCTGTGTTGTGTTGTAATTTAAGTCTATTGTACCATTGGGTCAAATCTTAAAAACAGGTACTGTATTCCAAAAATCTCCTATGTGTAGAATTTGTATGAGGTTAGAGATCCTAATATGATTTATGTCTTTTCTAGAAAAATAAGATGATTCCAGTGAAATGTGGTGCAATGTGTAGACTCTGTTTTCTTGCAGGTGCACAAGTGCAGACAGCACATACACAATTAAAACAAAGGGCAGTCTTAGTAGAAAAGGTCTTTTTATCAGGGAACTTTGATGTATGGTGCAACCGTTTTTAACAAATGTCTTTTCAGGCCATTTTGATGGACACCAACTGTTCAATGAAGACAAGGTCCTACTCCACACAGGGGACGTACTACCAGGGTGAAAACATGGATCCAGAATATGATGATTATGATTAACAGGACATCAGCCATGCAGGTTAACCCTTCAGAGGATCTATTTTGTTGTACAAAAAAAGAAGGAACACAGAAGAAAACAACAAAGAAACAAAACAGCCAAGATATTTCTATGTGAATGTCCTGCGTTCAGTCCTCACTGTTCAGTGTCCTCTTAGCAGTTGTACTGGAGCAAAACCAAAGTTGTTCTTGATCTGTGGTTGCAAGTGTATTGTGTGAGAGATATTTTTTTAGCCAACAGCCTTATTAAGTAGAGAGATAGAGTAGGAGGGTGAAATGAGTACGCTTTGCTGGTTTGTTTTGAATACAGATGTGTCTTAATCCATGTGTTGGCCATTAAGTGTTATCTACTGTATGTCAGCGATACTGTCCGCAGTATTATTCACAGAATTTGAAGTGCAAGTTGGTATTATAATGGGTGATTGTGTGGCATGTTTAGGAACTGATGTATGTCAAAATCCAGGAAGATTGCTCAGTCTGTTTGCATTGATAGAACTCTAAAAGTACAAACCAGAGGCCTCCCCCAGTCCAACTGTAGAGGCCAAGCTACCCAGATAGATCAACACATCTGACCTGCTGAAGAAAGTGAAGTGAAACCTATTCTAGATGAGATCATCCCAATATGAACACAAACTGTATGTTTTTTGCATCTTGGCAACTTCAGAAAGATCATGTAAAATATTTCTCGTGGATACTGCTGTTGAAAACTAGATAAAAAGCAAAAGAAAACACAAAAAAGATGTCCTGTTTGTATCCATCTGTATTCACACACAGCGTTTACTAGAGCAGAATGGACTCAGTATTAGCACACTGAGGTATAGCCACAGATTTAAATAAACTAAAAACATCCACACAAGCATTTACAATTCCTTCTCTGTAGGTCTCTACCAGTTATTGCAGCTTTGAGATCACAACACAAAATGTCTGAACAGCATTATGTTTGCCATCTGCAAATCTTGTCTCTGTTGTTTAGTAGTTTACTGTATAATTCCAGCAGGGCAGGACTTTATAAAAGAAGATATGATATTCCAGCTGGTAGACTCTTCTGCTCCCCATTTCCTCAGAGCTGCTAAAGCAGTCCACCACTGGTCAATGAAGTAGACCTGTGTCAAAACTCACCAACATTAGACTTGAAGTGAGAGTTTCATACTGAATTCATTTGCCTCCAGTGATTTCTGCTATTGCTTTGAAATAAACTGACTTGCTTTGAAATGATTCAGCTTTAAATGCTGGTCAGACTTCCCAGAAAGCTGCTGCACTGCCATCTGTACATTCAAAATCTTTATGTGGAACACACTTCAACAGCCCTGCACACACAAGGCAACACAGCAATAGAGTTCTACCCCATGGGATTTAGTATTAAACATACATTTTTTTTAACGTTCCTAAGATATATCTATATATATAGATATATCTTAGAAACACAGAACACTGATCACATGCAGCTTCTCTACTGATTTGTGTTGTGAGGCAAAATGACAGCATTTTAAGCAGCAGCATTTTGATTGACAGCTGGATGGATGTGGATGGCGACGGCTGGGTGGGGGAGGAGTCATTCTTGGTGACTTCCTTTGAGTTTCTGCCCTGAGCCATCATTGGCTTCTTACACTATGACAGGTCAGAAGCTGTGCTGTGGAAACGGTTTGTTGTCATGTGTGACTAGTGGTTTGTGATGTGATCACCATCTACAGTATCAACATATACAGTCCATTTACAGAATCCACCAAAGATGCATTCTGGAAAATACACTTACGGTGCTTTGCTAGACGTTAGAGGAGACGATTCATACACCTCTCACATGTTAGATATGACGCTAGCACCAGCAGCTGGTTCTACATATTTAACAAAGGGATATAACACTTCTCATCAAAGTCTCACCTCATGCTGAGCTATTCCTTTAAGGCATACTCTGGGTTTATAGTCCATATTATGACGTTCACAAAAATGAGGAATATAAAAAGTGTTCTTTGAAGGAGTACAACAACTTATCAGGGGTTTGAATGGAACAGCAGTACGACCAGGATTTAATCTCAGTTGGTCATCTTAAATGTCAGACTGATAGTGATAATTGTTTCCTATACAATCAAATCACAACCATTTATACAATCAGTCCTATCAGATGGCACTGATACCTTATTTTTTATTCAAGTTCAGACCAACATCCACCTCCTAGATTCATGTATCTCCTGGTTGCTTTTTGTTTCTTAGCGACAAAGGTCAAAGGAGATCATATATATCAGTCGAACTACTCTATTTATTTATTTTTACAATGGATTTAGGAAAACAACTGACCTTTTCGCTTGGTCTGTTATGACCACTGATCAGTAAAAAAAAGCAGGACAGTTTTTAAAAAGTCACCATGTAAATCATCATCTTCTCTGCATAGAAGAGCTCGTCATGCCTTATATGTTTATGTTGTCGCAATTATTGTACAGAAGTCCTGAAACACTCCTGAACACCTGACAGTGAAGTGTTTTCTTGGCTCTCAAGTGGACAGTAAGAGGGTGATGAGTGTTGCTGGTTTTTTTGTATTCTGAGGTGTCTTTTACAATCTGCTACTATTTGGTTTTGACACTATCTTGAAAATGGTGTGTGTCTTTCAACAGCACCAATGGTCTAAGCTCCTGGACAGAAGCACCAACAGTCAGAACATTAGAGTGAACAAGACAAGACACTCAGCTGCAAACACAAAGCAGCCGTAGCGTTGCAGTTGGTTATTATCACCACAGAGACACGGGTCTTTGGGGTTACAGGTAGATCAGTAGCTTAAAAATGGTGTTTAATGTTCTTAAAAGCCCCATACTCACAGTGAATGAGTGAACCCTACAACGTGCTCTGAGTCTTTGGCAGTGAAGGTAGATGTCAGGTGGGTCTGAACGCTTTGGTCCGCTCCAGTGTAATTGGCTATTTGCCAAAAAGTCTTGTTATCATTTGCTTGTGTCTGTAAGAAGGTAATTTATAATTTAAAGAAGAGAGAAATGGTGGTCTCCAAGTCAGAAAGTTTGCTTTTCAAAGAGAGAATAAACTTGTTGGTGATCATCAGGCGCAGAGCGTTTTATTAGAAACCAAACTGCTGATGAAGATCATTGCAAATTTAGTAAAGGAGGAGAATTTAAGGAACTTGTCAAAGGAAGGCAAGAAGTAGGCTATCAACATCTCAAGTATCTTTATGACAAGATTATTCAGCATGAAAGTGATAAACTGGTCTTACTCTGCTGAGAAAACAGCGACCCAGCACATACCGTCAGTTAAAACCAGCAGTTGAGGAGAACATGTGAGGCTGTTTGCTTAGTTGGATTATCACCTGTCTTAAACTGTGTGGAAAATGTGTAATCGTACATTTGTCAAAGCTGTACAACTTTCTGGCTCTGCATGTGTCCAAAATGGTTGTTGCCATTTCCTGTACTGCTCACCGAAAAGCACCATCAGCTCCAGTGTTGTGTTAGATGTGCTGCTGCTATGATAAAACGTATCAGATAAAACCATGAAGGGTCCACCGTGTGCCTCAGTTCTGTTGTAGATAAACAGGATCCAATAGGTTTACAGGAAACCCCAGAATTATTCTTCTTTTTTCTTTTCTATCTTTGTTGTTTTTTTTTCTGATTTAACATTAAATTATTGCATAATCTCTTATCAGTACAAACTAAAATAACAACATAAAATTCTTCCTTTTTTTTTTTTTTTTTTACATCATTCATTGGTATTGTTTAAAAAGAGGCAGGAAACTATAACAAATATCAATTTCAGTTCCAGTTGAAATCCAACCAGAGAGCAGTTATGTGTAATGTAGTGTCAAATCTGTGCTCTTTAACCACCGGAGCGCCTCAGGATCACTTCCTTGAACACTAACTGCAAAAGCAGCATTTTATTAACATGAGTAAACAGTTTGAATGTTTTGTGATTAGTCTGAGATTGCATTCACCTTCCTAGAAAACCTCCAGGTTAAAGCTAACCGAACTAAGTGCTTAGACAGACAAAACGACTGTGCCCAAGACAATGGAAAACAAAAACCTTTAAATGTTTCTTCTTTTTCTGCTTCTTCTTATTTTTAAAACTGTATTTCCAGTGTTATTATTAAATAATTAGGATATTTTAATATACATACATACATATGTATAATATATATATATATATGTATATAAAAATATCCTAATTACTCTAACTAGCTAGCAAAATACTATATATAGTTTTTTGCTAGCTAGTTAGATAATTCAATGTTTGTTCGGCTCCGCCCCCTGAGATTGAACTCAGCCAATGAGATTATTTTTACCTGATAAACAGCTCTGCTCTTCAGAAATGCTTTGAATGGGTATTTTTTGTCTGTTTTTATCATTCCTGTAAAACTTCTTGTTTGTAATACAGCTAATGTTGTGTCACATGTTGTGTTTTTTTGATGTCCTACACTTTTCTGATGGGCTGTGAAAAACTGTACTGGACTGAACTGGATTTTAGCAAACTGGCAAAATGTTGTCATAGTTATTCAAAACTTACAGGAATGGTCCAAACTGTGACTTACTGGACTGAACAGGGACTGAGACGCTAAAGATCATCCTCAAGATATTTTCTTTCATTGATCATCAATCTACCGAATTGGACAGAAAGTGGATATTTTTTGTGAACTTTGTCTGTGTGTGTGTTTGTTTTTTTGTTTTTTGTTGCTGTTTTAATCTAGAATCTATTGCAAACATGTCAGTAAGTGAATCTGAAATATTTGTCTTTGGCTGGATTTTTTTCTGACACATGGGAGGAGCATATCCTCTATGAAATGTGGAAGAACAGTTTTCTCCAGAAATGACGACACTGAAGCTAAATATAGAGACAGCTGGATTTTCAGCACCATTACCTTTCGCTGTATTTGAAACACTGAGCATTTAGACCAAATGTTAGTCTATATTTTTGTTTTTGCCAGTTTATCGTGAACAAGGCAGGAACATGCATGTTCTCAGTATGGTCACAGAAATACTTGCCTGTGCTGCATGCTGGAAGACAGCAGAATGAGTTGTGATGGGGAAATGTGGGAGCAGGCACACTGTAATCAGCCTGTCCATCTCAGCTCAGGGCTTCAATTAGTTTGCAGATGCTCACACAATACCTCCTTTTCCTCTTCACTAAGAACCCAGACAGTTGTCGCTCTTATAACAATGTAGGTGCAGGGAAAGTTGACCATTCTCTTTTTTTTTTTTTTTAGATTATATTTTGCTGCTTTTCTGGAAGGAACCCCAGAAGAAAACTGCTGATGCACTGTCCTTAAATATGTTTAAAAAGTTTTGCTAAGCATTGCACCTTGTAGATTGCTCCCTGTAAGTTTTCATAGAACTGGACTGTAGTGTGGAGAAATACTGCAGCAAATCACTAACTACTAACTGGGTTCTCTGCTGTGCTGAGTTTCATTTTCACTTGTGTCACTTTCAATACATTTTTTTTTATTTACTCAATCCAAAAACTCTTACAAAGATTAGAAATTCATGACATTAGTCTGTGGAGGTTGCAAAGCTACATCAAGCTGTATGCTAGATTTTTCTTACTGTCAACAACTCTAAATGATAGTTGGACTATTTTTAAAGATGCACATCTCAGGCTGGAGGGAATGGGCGTGGGACTGTATGCTACTGACAAGCTGGAAGCCACTGAGGGATGAAGGAACGCCTGCTGCATGGTTCTGCTGACAATCATGTAAATGCAGCCAATGCCATCAGAAATCTTAAACATCGTGGTGCAGACTTACAAATAGCAGCACCCACAAAGACAAGGGCATAGCTCACACAAGTATGAACCAGGTGGCAACTACAGAAGTACCTTAAAGTGCAGTGCCACAAAGGGGCAAGACAGAAAACATCCCAGCTTCAACTGTCTTCATTCAAAAAGAATCAGCTTCTCTGTAGAACTACTGAGCCATTGTAATGTCCGTGAGTCTTTATGCTGTCCTTTGCTAAATTAAAGCAGAAAACAGATCGCTTCGGCGTACAGGGTTTTTGAAGGGTTCTGGCTCCAAGGGGAAAAGATGGTTTTATGGTTTTATGTTGCAACTCCAGACTGAGTTCCTATACAAACTAGTGTGTGACATCATACCTCACTATGTCCCTGTGGATACAGTGTACAGCGTAAGTGAGCACGTCCCTGTTCAATATCACGTGAACGTCAAATGATCCAACTTGTATCACCTTACAGTAATCGCATTACTTCTAACTTTAACAGTCGGGTGTTTGCTTTTATGTAAAGTTTAAGAAGCCAACAGTTTAAATGTGTTAAAATATATCCCCCCATATTAAGACCTCAATGCATCACGTCAGTACACCTTTCCATAATGAAGATCAAATACTTTTTTATGTCCACCTTTATTGTTTTTATTTTTAGCTGCTCTTTGCTAGTGGGGGTGTTTTGCGCTACCGCTCTATTTAAAATATCCCAAAGGTGTTCTATTGGATTTACGTCATATTGCAAACTTAGTCAATTCATAGTTTTTACTTTTTTTTTCTTCTTTATAAACTTTTATGTGATTTTGGCAGTATGCTTTGAATATTCCTTTTATATCACGTTTCTGCAGATTGGAAGTCATACTGTCAGCTGGTATACACTCCCACCTCCGTGCTTCACTGTCAGGACTGTGACCTCACTGTGGTAGCTCTGGCCAGGTTTACACCAAACATGCTGGACTCCATCTGCTATGGCTAGTTCTCTAGCTCCTGATTATGGCTGCAACTATATTTGGGCAGATTTTTTGATCACATTTCTTTCTTCATCATTTTCCATTTTTGTCTCATAATCAGATGTTTTTTTTTTAGTTCCTCTGGTAATTCTTTTCCATGTGAAGCCATGATGCAGACATGCAGATAGACACAACCCATAGGTCCAAAACTCAGAAAGGTTGAGAGTTCACATGTCATTTTATAATCACTTTCATGCAGTTAGGCTTATTGAAAATCATAGCTGTACTTAATTTAGACTCGGTTATCTCAGGTGTTTGTAATGTGCACCTTAGTGATTACATGTGTTGAGTCTTACTTTGGGGGCCTGTAGTCCTTAATGTAGTCCTTCTAGAGTATGTGGTCTTTTTCTTTTTTAACATAGTGATGCTTTCAGTCTTACAACTGAGCAACACTGTTGGTTTTGGTCTTTTTTAGAGTATTTCTTGACATTAAGAAAGCATAATAATCTGTTTTATTCATTAAACACGTAGCATGCTAATACTCTAACAATTTAATAAGGTAATAAGTTACCGAAATTAGCTAGTTTTTTTTCCCAGCGCTACCTTCCACTGCATCTCACTGTCTTCCTTAACAAATTAAGATCGCAAAGAAGTCAGTCATCAGTGAGCAAACGTCTGCTAAGGAGAACTATGTGATTTATTTTAAAGTTCAGAAAGGTTGTTTTAAAGAAGTCTTTAAAAGATGCAACACATAGCAACTTTGTTCCAATTATACAATCAGACCAAGAAAAAAACCAAAAAAAACATCAAACTCCTGAATACGAACTGTTGGTAGATGTTGCACAGCTCAGCGCATAATCAGCCCAGTAGCTGATCTACATACTTAACTTACATAAACACTTAAGACTGGCTGATTTCAACTAAAATCTAGACTTGCTTTCCATGTTTGTTGATGCTGATGTGAATAATCCTTTAACTTGGATTTAGTGGTCGTCTCGTGTTAAATGTTATAGAAGGCTCGAGTCTTGTGTTTTCATTCTTCTGGTGGGGTGACTTGTTTACATCTGGACCTCAGATTGTGCCTTTAAAGATGTTCTGTGTGAGCTAATTAAATCACAATGCAGAGTCACGGCATTTCATTTGATCTCGTTTATTTAGGTTATGTACAATAAAGCTTCATAAGATGAACCTTTCTCGAAAACTGTTGTACAATATCCTTCACATACACAACAAAAAAAAAGAAGAAGAAGAAGAAAAAAGAAACAAACAAGATGTTGACCTCCTGAAAGCTGCGTGGTGGGCACTCACACTGCATGAGCAGGTTCAAAGGTTAGGGCTGGGGGAGGAGGCAGAAGCATGTGAATATGAGTTCTGTGGAAATACACACCGTAACAACAACAGCAGCAAAAGCAGTGCTTCTTAGGCCAAGAGAGATGTTTATGGTATGAACTCAACTCCTTGGAGGTTTTTCATTGGTCCCCAAAAAACCCCCCAGGTTACATTACCAGACGGATGGGCACACAGACGTCACACATTTAAAGAGAAAAGAAGAAAAAACACAGACATGGGGATTCATTCCTGATTATCAGCTTCATTTCCTACAAAAATATTGCACAAAAAATCTGGATATACAGAGATTGACAAGTATAGCAGCCAGTGAGCCAGTATATACATAAGCAACATGTTTACGACACTGAAAAGGAAATGTGCCTTTGCTTCCTCTTAGTCTACATGATTAAGTCTTTTTTTTAGAGTTACACTGCATGCAAGGAAAAATCTACCCTCAACTGCTGTTTAGTGCAGTTTGTTATTTTTGTTGTTGCCTTAATATTGTGTTAGCTTGGGTTTTTAAATGCAATGCTTAAGATTTGCAGCAGATTTTAGGCTAGCATACACTCCTTTGCAGCTGTGTTATTCCAGGCTCACAACACCAGACTGGCTTTAACTGAACCATGTCTTCAGTCTACCAACCCGTCAGTCGTTCACCTTCAACGTAACAATGTGACGAGTGCTGTAGTCATATGACTGCTGCAACCAGCTGGCTAATATGAGTGCAGTATTTTGAGAGCAGGTTTGTCAGGGTAGGTAGGGCAGATAAAGGACCTCAATGTGCGTGTTCACCTACTTGATGTTCCAACCTATTTGTTATTTTAGAATAAGAAAGGGTTCGAAGTAACTGATTCATAACAATGTAGTATATTTTAAAAAATGTTTTCCATTGCTATAAAGGCTGGAAACCCCAAACCTAAAGGCCTCTGTATGCTTAGTTTACCCAACGTGTCATCCAACACGTCTCAAAACAAAAGTATTCATGTTCCTGTTTCAAATGTCTAAACTCTCTAAGACCCTTGTGTCTCTATAGTCTTAACGCCACAAATTGTACAAATGGGACCACAGTTACAGCTTCTCCTCAAAAACATTACTTAATATTCACAAGTAGTTGCAGAAAAAACGTAGAGAGAAGAAATATTAAGGCAAAAATGACACATCTGCACCTCAGCACACCTGTTCACTATGTAAATTGGGCCTAATGAGATTGTCTGATACATTGTTTGAGTCTTAAAATAACACAAGGGTATTTTACTCTGGACGGGCAGAAATGTAGGCTTTTGGAGACAATGACGCAGACGCCCATGTTCTTCTTCTGACTGGGTCTCATCACTGATTCATCAGTTATCATGTGACCACTTTCCACAAGAACCAAAGACATATGCCTGGAGTTCCAGGGTCTAATTCTACATCGACAACAAACTACAATCATTGCTGATCTAGTTTTCTCTGCTAGAAACTGTAACGCCTTTAAGATAATATCTGTTTTTCTTACTAGCATTTTCTACAAACGTCAGCTTCGTATTAACACTGGCACCCCTATGGCCCAGTGTACGTGAATGGTCATGTGACGCATCTTGTCAGGCATGCCAACGTGGACGGAGATTTTTTGAAAAGGTGCCACAAGACTCGTCTATATGAACGTTATTTTGTTTTAAAATGGCATTTAAAACTGAAAACTGGTGTGGATGTAGCCTAAATGTGTTTAGATGGACATTGGTGCTGCTTAAGAAAGTGCTGCCTCCCTATAAATTTAAATGCGACCACTGTGGAGGCACAACAGATGTGCCAACACAGTTTTAGGGAAAAAAAAGTTGAAACCGTCTCAACTTTTGCCACAACACAGTGTAGCGTCACGGATGTTTACCAAAGTGTAGTCCTGGTGGATTACTGTGTAGCATAAACAATGTATTGCCATTAATATTCAATAACCTTTACCACTGTGCAGCATTATATCTTCTGATGAGCAGGCAAAATAATGGATCAATTCCTCCAACTAGAATTCCTGGATTGTGATTTTTTTGTTGTTGTTGTTTTTTACATGGCTGTTTTCAGTCATTTTCCAGTCAAACATTGGCCCTATATTTGTATATTTGCAGAAATTAAGTTTTCCTTGTATGCTTGCTAAACATCACAGTTCTGACAGACTGATACCAACACCTCCTGAAAGCAGATGGTATTTTTAGAAAGCTATCAAACTCAATCTCACTGAGTATCTACCATCAGCCTCTGCTCCAAATGTGTGCTGCTGCAGTGAATGGCAAAACAAGCATCAGCATACAGAAAGAAAACCCCATCACCACCAAGGTAGGTTTGAAACCTTTCCAGTGTGAAGGGTAGATTTTTCCTCTTGATACATAAAAGTTAAATATTCTCTCCTCAAAAACAATTATTTTCCAATGGCTGTTTAAGGGTGTAAAAGGTAGACAAACAGCATAGCATTTTGGAAGCTGTAGCCGGTTATGATAGAATCACTGTGACAGGCTACGTCCAGGAAAGGCGACTGGGGGGAGGCGGTGCCAAGCAGCTGCATATACACAAAACACAGAAAAGGAACATACATTCATTTGGGCTTGAAACCAACTCCTGAAGGCAAATGAACTGCACGACTTCACATCGCTCCATAAAGCATGGACGTCATCTTCATACACACATAACATGCACACTTACGAAACCAATTTTTAAAAAAGTTGGGAGAATGGTAACATCACACAGGCTCCATTCACTCTGAGATCAATCCAAAAAAAAAGTCAATTATGTGCCTTTCTCACATTGCACCCATGGTAGTTAGTATCATTAAGCAATGTGCCATAGTTGCGTTTCATAAGCCGTGCTCTGAACAAAACTTGACTTGGCAAGACAAAAAAATATACAAACGGTTACTAATGATAATAATAAATAATAATAAGCAAATAGGAATTGATTTAAAATTTCCACCCCAGGTAAATACATCTTACGCCCTCCCAAGGATAGGAAATGGTTACAAAGTCAAAGATATTTATCCTAACCAAAGAAAACTAAATAACCAATAACAAAAAAGCAAATCACTGACAATTATGCAGCTGCTGAAATCCCCAAGAGCATAGTGAGCAGGGAAAGTCACTTCTAAAATTCAAATATACAGTAAAAAGTGCACAAAACAAAAGACATTAATGACTGCTTGCAGGGTCCTTAGACGTATGAATCGTTCCATCACTGTGAATGTCTAAACCTGCTTACGTCACCTTCATATGGGCTTGTTACTCAAAGCAAACAAATATTAAACGTTATTTTTCCTTTCCAAAATTTAGATGATTCAGACCATTCGATCAAAGTCATGTGTAAAGTAGTCCTAATGTCAAAGCAGTTACAGACAGCAAAACAGCAAAGCAACCTGAATTCAAGCTTACAATGATATTTTGATGCCACAGAAAAAGAAAACTGTAAGATAAACATGAAGCACTGCTGAGGGCAGATAATGGAGTAGCTTTCAAGCTTCCCTTTAAAAACCTAGAGCATAGAAACAGCATCGCACTAAGCAAATCAATGAATCCATAATGGGTTCACCATAAATCCTTAGGAAGGAAAATCCTTTAACGATCCTTTCATTTTACAAGAAAAAAAAAAAAAAGGTGGGAATCAAACACTGGAGCCCAACATCACTGATAATTAAAATGGACTTCTGAATTCCCCCAGTCTCAAAATCAAAAACCACATATAATTTTTGCAAGGAGGCGCAAGTCCAAAGCACATGGTCCTCTTTTTTTTTTTTTCAGGTCTTATTTAGTGGAGTGCCTCCACACAGATCTGCTCCTCAGTAATGTCATCCAGCAGTTGTACCTCCACAGGGCTGCATATGTCACTGTCATAGACCTCTGTCCCCATCAGGGCTTCTTCCTCGAGGCCTTCTCCTTTGCCTTTAAAGCCTTGCTGCTCTGAAGGAGAAATGCTCTCCACTGACTCCAGATCTTCGATGCCTGCCCGGTAGTGGATCATTAGCAGGGTGAGGGCCTGGAGTCGCTCCCCAGACTTGGACAGGGCAGTACTGATGAGGGCTTTGCGCCGTGCGTCTGTGGCCTCCCTCTCCTCCAGCAGGAGGGCATTATTGTGTTCCAGCTCCTGATCAATTTCCTGCTGCAGCTTGTCAAGCATTAACTCCAGCTTCTGGGAACGTTCATCTGTGGGCAGCCCTCGGTAGAGGTCACGGCCTATCTCCTTCACAGCAATGAACACACTGTCATCCAACCCGCCCTCCTTACGTACAAGTTTGCTGCTGCCACCACTGCCCGTGGGCTGCTTTGAAGGGCTTGCACCACTAGTGTAGGTCTCAGTATCACTGCTCTCATTGTCAGATGTGTTTGGGGTATGCTTGGGTGAGGGCTCCACCACTCCAGGCACCACATCAGTCACCTGCTCAACAAGCCGAGTTTTGGGCACCTGGCGAAGGTTAAGCAGGCGGGAGCTGGTATTGATGATATGGCGCGTGAGGCCAGTTGTGGCCCGGTTTATAGTGGATTTGGCTTCAGGGTCAGCTCCACGACGTTCAGCTGCTGCCACACAGAAAGGATTTTCAGCGAGGCACTTTTCCTGGCACTTCTTGTGGCAAACGTAGGTACAAACCATACACTGAGAGGCTGCCTTGGTCCAAACCTTTTTCTTGCAGTATTCACACCATGTGGGGTTCTGGAACTGGGTGTCCTGGAAGTTGTGACGAACTTCTGTCAACTGGAAGGTGCTGTAGGCCAAGTCATCGCGGGGTGCTGAGGGAATAGGCTCCCTCTCTCTCTCCCTCTCCCTTATATCCTCGTCATGAAGGCTCCCCTCTCGCTCCCTTTCTGCCAGTCCCCCTGGATACTCAAACTCACCCTCAGCTAAATAACAGAAGTTCAAAGTAACATCTCCATAACACAACTTCTCATTAAAGCCCTTGTGGGTGCTGAGACTGCGTAGCGCAGTGCGGCTGACGTTAGCCCTGGGCTCTGGAGGTCCCAACCTAAAGGCGCTCTGGTACTCTGCTGAAGATGTGGTCATACATTCTAGGGCTACATGATCCAGCTGGAGGCTGACATGTCCCAGGCATAACAAACTACCCAGCTTAAAGGGATCTTTGCACCATAGGGCCACATTAAGGTACTTATGGTTGCTTTCCACCTCAAACACCACAGAGGCCTTGGGCCAGCGGGCTGTCTGGCTACGAAACATGGTTTCTGGGGATTCCCAGAAAGAGTGGTCCTCTAGACTGTCCCGTGTGCTGCAGGAGCTCTCTGAAGCTTTGTCCTTTGCTTGATCAACCTTACCGCTGCTGCTGGTCGCGGTGGAAAGAACTAGCATCTCATCACTTGATTCAGCTGTCTTGGTGGACTGCTTTGCTTCAGCCTGCTTAACACATGTCTTCTCAGTGCTAGCCTTATCCTCATTGGCTCCAGTGAGTGGTACTTTTTCTGGAGATTTTTCAGAAGTGCTGACAGTGGTAGTCACGGTGGGAGCAACAGTAGCATTAGTAATTGTGACAGGATCAATGCCTTCCAAAAGACTGGTTTCTGAGGATGCTGATGTCAGCCTTATCTGAGGTCTTGGTGGCAATGGGGGGCGAGAGGGAGGAGGTGGGGGTGGGACAGTGGGGCGTTGCAGACCCTCCGCTGTATCACTACTGGTCTTATGTGGTGAGGGCTTTGGTGATTCTTTGGGCTGGGGTTTTAGTGGCGACTGAAGACCCACCAGGTTTAACTTGCGGTTGAGAATGGGTGATATGGAACCAAGTGGCTTAGAGGCCAAGTTGGCCACAGTCCTTTTGGGGCTTTGGTTTACAGAAAGTAAGAAATCTTCCTTGGTCTCACTGGTATTTGTAGCACTGCTGTTAGGGCCACCAGCCTGGCTAGGTTTAGAGTCCACAATCAATTCTTCAAACTCTGAGTCCATGTCTTTGCTATCGGATATGTCAGAGAGGGTAGTGATGGGGGCTGGGTCTTCCTCGTACCCTCCTGGTGGAGGAATAAAACCTGTTTCCTCTAGCTGCCCGAACCCTTCCTGCAGAGTTCCCAGGCTTCCAGAAGTGGAAGTCTGGTGACGAACTGGTCTTTCGTAAAGTACCACCACCCTGTCTCCGGCCTGTTTCAGCAGTTTGGGCACTTGAACTGAGGATGTCACTTTGACACCTGCCAGCAGAAACGAGAACAGGAAATAGGTTTTCAGTCAGTAATGCAAAGCACTAAGTGACATTCTCCAATTTTTAACAAGCAGTGAAACATCTCAGACCTCCGATCTCAATGAGGCGGTCACCCTTCTGCAAGTCTGCCACAGCTGCAGGGGAGTTGGGCGTGACCGTCTCAATGCTGACGTGGACTGCATCCCCCTCACTGGCTGGGACATGCCTGAAAGTCATTCCCACACTTCCACACGGCCCTTTGATAACCTCCGTCTGATGCATACATGTAAAAGAGAAAAATGAACAATTAGGACAAGCATTGACTTACAGGTTATTGGCCATGCATGTTCTCAACAGATCAGATTACACGTGCTGATAGTAATGTAGTGTGAAAGAATATAATTGATTCATGATCAATGATAAAGTTAATCTAACTTTTGTGATACAAAGGCATATTTTGCGCTCTTTAAACATAATTTTTATGTACTTCTCATAGCATGGATGAATGTATGTACAGTGTTTTCATAAATATTAAGAAGTGAAACAAACATGGGGGTCCAATTTGAAAAAAAAAAAAACTGTCTCAGAAATTAGCCTAATGGATAAAAACAATTTTATATTGTTATCAAGAACAGAGGACAGAACATATAAGATGGAAAATGAGGTCACGGTGTTGTATTTGTCTCCTACTAGAAGTAAATGTTGCATTGTGTATAGCGCATCGGGAAAATAGAAATACTTTCTTAAGGTTGTTTGCCTCTGCCAACCAGTCAAGTTGCAGTTTACATCCATGTCTGTCCAGACTCATATAACATGTAGTGAAGAAGTGAGTAAGGAACCAAACCATTCTTTGCATATGTTCACATGCTTGAACAATAAAGCTGATTCTAATAAAGTTGTAGCCATAACAGTAGACAGTGCCTCAAACATGGATGTTTCCAGAAAGTAGCTACAAATTCTAAAATGCAGATGCACACTTTGCACACATTTTTAAGTCACCAACACAGACGATTTTCACAGTCACCACAGTTTGATGTGGGTCACCCAAGATTATTGTCACCAATTCAGTATCTGACCAAATATGAAAATGTAAAATATAGTCTCAATTTTTTCTGTTCCTGTTCTGTTCCTGGGATCTTTCTGTGTGGAGTTTGTATGTTCTCACTGTGCAGCGTGGCTTCTCTGGCTTCCTCCCACAGCCAAAAAACATGTTGAGGTTAATTGGTGATTCTTGTATGAAGGTGTGAATGTGAGTGTGCTTGAGTTTCTATGTGTAGCCCTGTGACAGAGTCGCTCAAAGTCAGCTATGATAGGGCACCCCTATAGCTCACCTAGTTGAGTGGGTGACCCATTAACAGGGGCTATAGCTCCCCGATACAGCGGTCGTGGGTTTGACTCCTGCTCACGACCCTTTGCTGCAGGTCTCTCCCCATTCTTCTCCCCCCTTTCCTGTCTATCTCTACTGCTCTAAATAAAGGCAAAAAGCCCAAACATATATATTAAAAAATAAATAAATTAAACAAAAAAAAAAGTCAGCTAGTATATACTCCACGACTCTACAGAGGATTAAGCGGTGTATAGACAATGGATAGATGGCTGGATGGACAGTCAAAGTGGCATATATCTCAAACAAGACTGGCACAACATGGGTTTGCTGGCAGACTCTGGTATCTACCAGTGAAACACAGCTATTTGTGTGAAATTTTGTTCTCACTCGTATAGAAATTCTTGAGCAATAAAAACAAAAAATTGTCAGTTGACAAATGCTTCAAGTGCAACACTGACATCTAGCTTTAGCACTTTGATGAGAGACTAAAACTGAAAGTGGCAATTCTGTGGAAGAAGAGAGAGCTGCAATTAAACCCCCACCACCGGCTGTCTTAATAACAGCGACTGCACACAGTCTAAGTCACATAACCAACAACACACCTGTTGCGATGCGGAGGTGACCCGCTTCATGCCTGACAGGCCATCTATCAAATGACAGCGTTTTCACCGTAGCAGGAAGTTCGCACCCCCATGTTGATGACGAACCGCATACATTAGCTCAAGCAATTTTAACTGTGATTAGTGGAGATCCTCAGCTTACAAGTAACATATTGGGACATTTCTGGTTAGAGAGAAGGGAGCTAAATGGGGTGGAAGAGAAGGAGAAGAAAGAGGATAAAGATAGTACAGGTGTCCTGGTTTAAAAGAGAGCAAAACGAGGGCCGACATGATGTGGGTAGACGGAGACAAATGACTGTAATTTCCTCTGCTGTCATTTGTTACAGTTCTGCTGGAAGGCAGTGATTGAGTTAGGGCTAGCCATGAATAAGCAGATGATCTACACAAGCTGGCACAGCGAGTTGGATGTGGGGGGTTGGGTTATGGTTGTTGGTTGGTTGGGTGATTAAGGTTCACTGAAGTCTGAGGGAAAGTCCTGATTTGTACTCATGGTACTGAAGTCTATGCATCTATTGTACAGTCTCTCTCAAACAAATACATGCCAGCAACTGGGCTATGTTTCTCTGTTAAATATGTCCTGGCAGAACATAACATTATGTTGTGTGTTATTAATACTACGGGGTGGACTAATGTTTTCTTATACTAAACCTCTTACTTTTAATGTGGTGCTTGTTTGTGCAAATTCATCAAACTTTCTGTTTGTTTGTTTGTGAGATGTGATCATTAACCTCTTACTATTCCTGTAAAAAAACAGAGCTTAAAACACTTATCCAAAGCATGCCCAAAGAAAACTGAAAGCTGTTCTTGAACCATTTAGAGTACATGCATGGTCTTGGTGTCTTTTGAAAAGTAACACTGAAAGACATCAAGTCAGAGTCATTAAGGATCGTCTTTAACCACAGTGAGAACCGGGAGTCCTGCAACAGATGGTCTGGCTTCCACAGAGCCCTGATCTTAGCATCATGGAGTCAGTCCAGAATTACAGAAAGAGACAAGTGACACTGAGGGAGACTGAATCCACAGAAAACCTGTGACGAGTCCTCCAAGATGATGAACAACCTACCTTGAAACAAAACCTTAAGACCTGATAGTGTTTTAGAGAAAAAAAGGTGGTCACACCAAATATTGGTTTGATTTAAGATTTTGTTCTGTTTGCGGCAGCCTGTATAAAAACTATTGAAATGTGAAAGAATCTTCACAGACAACGGTAGATCAAAAATGCCAAGGGGCCATAACATTCAGGGAAATGGTGTAGGGACTCTGACACAGTAAGAGATGTCCTACTACTGGTGAAATGAAGGATGGTCCTGTAAGACCCTGACGGACAGAATAAAAATAACAACTGCAAACTTATGTGCCTAAACAGAACAATACTACGAAAAACTAATTTGCTAATGTCGTAAATTTGCTTTCTCTAGAGCTCAAGATTCAGGCTACGGCAGCATGATTCTTAAAATGAGATTACATTTTTCAACCTGTCGAGAAAACCAGGCTATTTCCATACGATTAATACAGCAGGTATGGACCACCTACAACTCCAAAAGAGAAAACTGCTGAATATGACAAGCTACCTGAAATCCCCTGTATGTGTTAATGACACATCTGTGTGGTTCTTTTAACACAATGACTCCAGTAAAATTCTAAGGTTTGACATGTAAAGCACTCTCACACTCTTTTTAAGGATGTATGAATGCCCTTTTTTTGCGAGCGTTTGTGCGTGTGTCCGTACTAGTGTTAGTCATTTAGTAGAGACATTCATTAGTTTACACGGTCACACTTCTCTTATGAAGACAAAAAGGTAAATCTTTAAATAAAGATGTCAATATAAATAATAATAACTAAGGAGAAGAGTAGGTTCAAGGTTAGGATAGGCAGAGCTTAATGTTAGGTCTCCAGGAAAAGACTTAACGTGATGTCCTCTGAGGTCTTGCAAACACAACTCTGTGTGTGTGTGTGTGTAAAGGTTTAATCTGATCTGGCTATGTTACAGCTCTTTCATGAAGACTATAACAACATTGCAGATGCAACAGGATGCTGTGGGGGATAAAACTAAATGACCATTATGTAGTGTGCAGGTAAGTTCTGTTGGCAAATGCTCAGAACCTGTGAGCTCTATACAAAAACAGGAGATTCAAACCCCTGGGATATTAAGCAGGATATTGAAAACAGCACATTTATCCATGATAAAGAGTTAACAATCAGTCTATCTCACAGGATGATTCAAAGCATGCAATCTGATCGCAGTCCTACAGGCAAATATATTACACTAGACACTGAATAGGCAGGCATACCATTAAAACTGCAGGTGAAGTCATTATCTCTTTACAGTGGCACCTGTCAAAGGGTAATTTATATTAGACAGCAAGGGTGAGCTCTTGAAGTGAATGTATTGGAAGCAGACAAAATGGGCAGTGTGAGGATCGGAGTGACAAGATCCAGATGGATGGACGACAAACAGTAGGTCTTGTGAGGTGTTCATGGTATGCAATGGTCAGTGGCTCCCAGTTCTTCTGTTGATTTAGACATTTTATATTATCTTGGCATAATAAAAAAATAACAGCTGCCATGCTGGCCACCTGTCACGTCAGGTCGATGAATGATTCAATATTGTTCTATTTCCTTCAACTGTATTTACTTTGTTGAAATGAGGCAAGCATTAATATGTTAGTCACGTGTCATATGCCATTGCCTCAACAAGCTGCCATCCATAGTGGCTGATTGTCCTATTTATTACACCACACAATCCACTGACATTTAGCTCATGGCAGGGGGGACCTCAGATCCCGATGCCAGTGCTGAGAGGGTCAGCTTCTACTTGGCTACTTGCAGTTCACACATAGACTTTCAGGACAGTGGAATATTTAGCCATTTGAGTAAAAGCAGCTGAAAGGTGAGAGTAGGTGCTGAGTATCACCGAGGAGCATGCCTGCAGCTGTGTGTGCACAGCTGCATCACCGGCTGGATTGTGGCTATCGAGCCCACAATAGATTTACAAATAGGAGCACATGAGTCCATTCTGCTCAAGTGCAAATAGTGGCAATCTCTCTTTTACACACACACTTACACCACCAATATGTGCACAGTCACACACACTCCCATGTACCTAATTATATTGCAGTGCGCACAAAAGTCCAGTGATAAGATTGCTGCTCTCCAACTGCAGCACTGGTATCAGAGATAGAAAGCTGGAGGTTCATTCTTTCTTTTTTTTTCCCACTAATCCTGGGCATCTGTTCTATCTGTTTATAATCCAGTATACTATCACTGTCCTAGTGTACAAAGAAAAAAAATATTTATCCTCCCCAAATGCACAAAGTCACTATAAT